TTATCAGTATCGTATATGTACAACTGAGAGAATTTTGGTTTTAACCCATGTTCCGGTAAAAGGCTTCCGATACTATGATAATTTTGACCGCTAAGTCTAAAAATGTATGGAGCATTTCCTCTATTGATTGAGGAATCAATCTTTCCACCCATTGACGTAAAAGAAAACATAGAATTGTAAGAACGAATGTTCTTCATGAAGTGTTTGCTTTTAGAATCTCCCGATGTAAAAAGATGGGCATAACTTGAAGGTGCATTCTTTAAAGTTGGTAGTTCAACTTTGCCATAAGCACAACATAAAGAATAATTTTGATTCTCATTTTTTTTACATTTGATAGATTCATCTTTCCATAATTTTGCAAAACATGTTTGGCATACAACAATCTGATCACCATGATCCAAATAATCTGTCAATTAAGGTTGACATAAAGATGTTAAATTTGTAAGTTTATATAAGTGAAAAATATTGAATGAACAAATATAAATATTATATTTGTATCAAAATTACCTTTTGATATACCGTTGTATATGTTTTGCTCATTTTGACCATCGATTTTGTCTTGATCGGATCTCAAACCAAATATTGGAATAGGAGTTAAATTTGTCCTTTTTTTCTTTGCTTTATTATTTGGATTAGATAACAGGACTGAAGACGATTTTGATGTTATTGTAGATGATTTGTTGGATGTGTCCCATTTGAAAATACAGAGAATTGTCTAATATTTGTTAACGGCGATTGACAACTATTATTGGAAATATCCATGGCTGCGGAAAAAATTGAAAGTATACATTGTTAAATATGATACAATAATAATATATGTTACAAATTAAAATGGTAAAATAAATGAGTTACCGTTGGAAATGTTAGATAACGGAGTTCTAACATTTAAATGTGATGGAGGAGGTTGTAACATTGCTTGTTTTGATGTACTTGAACTTGTTTTTGATCGGTATGTGCTTTTATTTCGATGTACAACTCCTTTGGATTCATATAAAAAAAATGGTTATCAGAAATGTAAAATTGTTTAATAATTATTTTAATATTATATGAATATGAATATTGATAAAGAGAGACGATGATGTAATAAATTTTATTACATATATTTAAAAAAACTTAAAAAGTTTAAAAGCAATCAAGTACGTTACCGTTTGAATCCAATTTCATGTTTGGTAATGGTCTGAAAACTGTTATTGGGAATATCGATGACTGAGAAAAGAAGATTGAAATGTAGATTATCAAATATGATACAATAAGAACATATATTATAAAAAAAATGGAAAAATAAATGAGTTACCGTTGGAAATGTTAGATAACGGACTGCTAACATTTAAATGTGAAGGAGGAGTACGTAACATTGTTTGTTTTGACCTATTTGCGGTTGATGTAGATGTGGATACACTTTTATTTCGATCGACAACTCCTTTTAATTTGATTGGAAATAATATCTTATTAGAAATGGTTAAATATTAAATAATGTTGTAAGTTTTTAAATAGTATATGAATACTAATAATGATAAATAGATAATATAAAAAACTATGGATGATAGAATTTTTATTTTACAGATTTAAAAGAGAGAAAAAAAAAGTGTATAAGCAATCAAGTATGTTACCGTTTGAATTCAATCTGATGTTTGGTAACCGTGATTGAAAACTGTTATCGGAAATATCCATGACTGGTAAAAGAAGATTGAAGGTATACATTATTAAATGTGATACAATAAAAATATATATTATAAAATAAAATGGTAGTATCAATGAGTTACCATTTGAAATGTTAGATAACGGAGTTCTAACATTTAGACTTGAAGGAGAAGTTTGGAAATATGATTTTTTTGAAACATTGACACTTGATGTAGATGCGGATAGGTTTTTATTTGGATGCACAAATCCTTTGAATTTGGCTGCAAAAAAAAATTGTGATAACAAATGGATAGATTTGAAATAATAATGTAACTCCCGAAAATATTCTATGAATATTAATATACAAAAAGACATAATACAAAAAATGAGCATGTGAGAAAATTGAATTTAGATATTTAAATTTAAATTTAAATACAGAATAAAGAAGAAAAGTGTATAACGAATTAAGTAAATTATCATTTTCATTTATTTTAAAAAGATGTGATGTTGATGTAGTTGTATGGATTCATTCGGTAAAACCTTTTTTTTTATTGTCCAAGTATAATTTTCTTATTCTTCTTTTCTCTGTAGCCTGAACATGATAGATATTCCTATTTGAAGCTGCATAATCAAATATACACACATGAAATAGTTATAATTCAGATTAAAAACATTGATAAAGAAAGTTGTAAAATATATAATGAACGTACCGTTATCACCAGGGTTAGTAACATTTGTAGAAGTTGGAATTTGACTGACTGATGTAGTGTACGAATGCAATTGTTTTGTATTATCCAGATAGAAATTATTTAATTTTATCTTCTTATTAGTCTTGAAGGAGTCCATGTTAGTAGTTGCTATCTGAAATGGAAGAAAATATGAATTTGATTTTTTTTGGTTTGTGGTTATGCAATTATTTTTTTAGTAATTATTCACATCATTAATTTATTTAAACATATTTTATTATAACTTTTTGTTTTTGTATAAATAAAACTTATATATTATTAGTTTAATAATTTTTTATAAATCTTTTACCCGTGGTTTCCACGGGTTGTAACCTAGTTAAAAAAAAATGTTGTCGATTGAACTTACGTATGACATGAAATACTAAAGTACAATGGCTTTATATGTAATGTTTCCGAATTTTGTTGCAGATACCATAATAGTTGATTTTTAAATTGGTGCTAGTGTTTCATTGTTCTTCATAATAGTTGGTTGCTAGAAGAGTTCATAATAACATTGGTTTTGAACATAAAATTATGATTGTTTTAATCCTTTCCAACATCAGAATTCACATAATAGATGTTTTTGAATTGTTTGATTGGTTATAAATATAAAAATCTCCTTAGATGTCAAAACTTATTACTGTATATATTTGTTTGGGTTTAATTTTTTTCTTGTCAGATCACTTTGTTTTAAAAATTCAAAACTTATCTGCTCTCATAATTTGCAACCTGAATTGAGAACTTATATCAGGTTGTATCTTTCTTAGCTCGAGTATTATTTTATTCAATATATTTTCTAAAATTATAGTATGTGTTTGACACACAGTATCATATATGGGCATTGTTATTCCTTTCGCTTATGGGCATAACAATTAAAAAAATTGCAGGCCGTGGTAGGGGTATATTAGTCAAATTTGCTCTTCTTCATAGTTAAAGAATATAGAAAATCGAAATTGGAAGTACAAAGATAATAGCAATCCATTCAAACAGTACATGTGATCCATGTCTGTGATGATTAACACAGACATACGTAAGACAAGGTTATTTTTACACATACACATACACATTGATGATCAATTTAGTGGATCGAATAAAGAATTTAAGATAGAAAATAATTAATAAACAACTTCTGAATCAAAGATAAATAGAAACTTTGAGTAACAAATTCAATGAGAAGCAAAATTGAAGTCGCAGAAGAAGAAAAGAATTTTCAATTATACGATTAACACAAACATTGAGAAGCAATGATACTTAATCATGAGAAACTCACCGAAGGATTGAAGTTGCTGATTCAAGATTCGAAATTAAGAAGCAGAATTGAGATGCAGAGACGGTCGTAGGGATTGAATTATGTAATTGAAGCGGAATATGATTGATATAGTATGTTATGCGCATAATAATTGATTGATATGCATACCATTTTTAGATGCTCTTAATCGGGCATGTGACAGAATTTATTTAATGTATACAGCAGTTATTCCATATTCAAATTTCAAATTACAAAATATGGATATTTCGATTATTAATCAAATCAAATCAAAGATTGTAATAGTACGTGAAACTAATCAGGGGTAAAAATGAGATTTAACATTGATAGGAACGTGAATTTTTGGTAGGACAGTAGTAAAAAAATTCAAACAATCGTTTTATTTATTAATTTATTTATTTATTTATGCTTCCAAAGGACAACGTTAAGGCATAGGAAAAATTTTATAAAATTTGATCTGTATATGATTCGTTTGTTTGAAAGAAAAGTTCAATTTAGTAATATACCAAATGTATCCTTATTAGAAAGAGGCCGTTAAGTTGGATTTGTAAAATTTAGTAAAAATAGGTAAAAATGTTAGGAAAATAAGTCAAAATTCTGAAATTGTTAATTGTATATTAAAAAAATATGGATGTAAAATTTGAATGTATTCAAATTTGAGACATCTTTTTTATAAAGCAAATATACTGATATCTTATAACACGAAATTGAAAAGTAGAATGTTATTGAATGTAATTTTTTTTTATTGCAAATATATTGGTAAAAAACTCTGAATGTGATAGATGAACCTAGAAACAACACACATTTTAGAGTTATGTTGGTTGTTACTGGTGGGCATTTAGTTGGTTGTGTATTTGATGGAAACCCCAAATGTTGCCCATAAATTATTCCAGAGGTATGTACTTTATTTATGTTATCACTTTAATTTCATCAGAAAAATTATTTATGAGGTTAAAATGAATACATCCTTGCGCAGAACCAAAAAATATGCCTTATTAGTATATATGATTGTAAATACATGTAATGTAATTTAGTTGTATGTAATATACTTATTTATATATGCTTGAAACGAACTAATACTTATCACGACCACTATCGTTAAATAATTAGTATATTTCTGATAAGACTCTTTAGAAACATATTTATTTGCTTATTTTACACATAAATTCACAAACATATATGCCACACATTTATTAAAAGAAGATTAGTCTAATTACAATGATAACCATAAAATGATAATCGTATTAAAATATAGAATACTAGCGAAAATAAAGCAAGAAGTATCAATGTTTGAACAGTAGACACCACAAAGAGCAATACTGTGAAAGAGAATCCAAAAAAAAATCCAAATTCAAGAACATTGTTGATTAAAAAAGGACAATCTCAAATTACTTTTGAAGCTTTGGTATTAATAGACCTGTGTTGCCATCAACTTTAGAATTCAATCGAGGGACCTTGGTGGATGAATTCACATTATCATAATCATCAACATCAATGGTATCTCCAACATTTTGTTTTTTTACTGTTGTTGGGGAATTATACTTGAACGGACTTGTAGCTTCAAATTTGTCGGGCAATGTTGGGGTCAAATTATCACCTGTTTGCGATATCGCATCCTTAAAACAAAATGTTGTAAATAGGTTTAGTAATAAAATATTAAGAAAAAGTAATCTTTTTAATAGATTATATAAAATTAAATAATGTAAATTTATAATATAACCTTTAAGGACTTTGTTTCTTGAGATACTTCATGAGATGCGATTTCTGTATCATCAGCATTTGCAGGACTACCTGCCTGAATCAGAAATTTAAATATTTATATAATTTGTGGGACATAGGTCTAAATCAATATAGATTTACAATTTATTAGTGAAGATCATTAAAAAAATATGCATCATAAAAAGTAATTTTAAAAAAACAAATAAAAATAATATATAAATACCTCGACAGCTAACTTTTTTTCCAAAGCATCGATAACGTTACTATCAACCGTATAGCCAAGTATCCCAAACCGATTGTAGTTATTGGATACATTAAAACTGTTAACATCTATCTTAAAAGCCATCTTTTTATGCTCCAAACATTTGAGGTCGTAAGGATATAATCTTGGATTATCCCCAGCCTGGAATAAATGTGTTATATAATATATTTATGTTTAAAAGCACATTAAACTAAAGAAAATACAACAAATAACAACAATTAAGAAAACAAAAATTAAAATTACGTTATACCTGTTTGATTTTATCTATAAGATCACGTGCGCGTTTTTTGACGATTCTATAAGCATCTCTATCGAAGAGAGTTAGAGTGATTGTTCCAGAATCATCTTGCACACGAATAGGTATTTTATACCTATAAAAAATTCCCAGATAAATAAACATTAAATATGTTTAATGGTTAATAATGTAGTTAAGTTGTTCTGTTGATATTTTCTTAAATGTAAAAAAACCTTGGAACAGAAGAGATCGTCTTATTTTTACAATTATCACCATTGCATTTTAAAACGACACTTGCATCACCACTATCTGCACCACTGAACAAATCTTCTGTTTGAACTTTCTTTCCACAGTTTGTACACGCATCATAATACCAATCAATATCTTGGCGAATACCATAAATGGTCCCGACAATGATATATTGGCCGACCTAAAATAAAATCAAAACGATCATAAAAACATTATAATTTTATTATCTGTTAAATAGAAAACAATATGACATCAATACAGATAAAATATTCACATACCTCTTGTGGTTCTATCAAATCGACAACATTTTTAACTTTGTAGTTATTCAAAAAGTCATCAAATTCCGAATATGATTTAGAGCTTTCAACAGTCAAAGAAGCAGAAGGGTTTTGAAGTCCTCTTAATCCAACCAAGCTGTTTTTAATTTAGGAGTTTGAAAATAAAATTATAAAATTATTGAACAGAAACAACAAAACGATGAATTATTAAAAGGTACAGTTACCTATCTGTGAATGTAACAATTTCGGGAATATTAGCATTTATGAACATCCGTGTGTGTTCAAAATAACTGTTCACAGAAGGTGTTGCTGATGAAACAAAATAAAATAGTAAATAGAATGAGTAATATAAAAGACTAAAATAAGGTTGATTGGTATAAAAAATTTACCGTTATAGACATTAATTCTTGCAAATTGCAAAAGGACAATCACACGACCAACTTCTTTATGAGCTTCAAGATAAGAAATTAACTGGTATGCAATATCTCCAAACAACGTAACATTAACCTGCAAACCTCTGCAAAAATAATAATGGTTAAATGAATATATAATACTAAAATTCTACATGCAAGTTGTAAAGTAATGAATATAAGATATAAGATATAAGATATAATATAAAAAAAGTTTTGGTTACTCTAAGTTTCTTATTTGTAAAGGCAGCCTATGTAGAGATTTGCTGACATCACGGGAATCAAGCTTTCCTAATGAAACAACTTCACCAATAATATCTACAAAATGATAATACAGAATGTCAAAATGATGTGAATTTAAAGAATTAAATATAATATACAATCAATAAGGAGGGAAATTACCAATTGATTCATTAGATGTAGCTGTTGCAGAGATAATTGTTTCAAAAGAAACAAAAGAAAATCCATATTTTGTTTTGGATTGAAAGTGTAGACACTCGTTAACAGTTGTTCTTCTATGGAAATTTAACTTGGAGGTTACATCACTTATTTTAAAAGTGTATTTGTTAGGAGCGATAGTGGGGGACCGGATGTAAACAGCTTGATCTTCTTTCAATTTGGACTCAAACCTTTGAAAATCTCTTGGATACACACTTGCTCGGATTTTTGTACACTATTCACATAGGGTAAGAATATTATATAATGTTAAAAACGGAATTTTTAATAAATATAAATTGGTCAACATTGAAGATAACATCTTCAATGATTGAGTTTGAATAATATTATTGGAATGATCAAATAAAAAAAATGGTTTTGAATAATGCTATGAAAATAGTAGATTTTACCATTTCATCCATGAGTATCATCTCAATTGATCTGACAATAGTGGGGTTGTCATCTGAAAGCGATTTCCACAGCCGGATAATAGACACTTTTAGTGTGTAATCATCATTCATATTGTCCAAGTCTCTAATGAAAGTGATCTTTGTTTCTGCCATTGTCACTATAACAGAAAAGTACACAAAATAATTACAATTATGTGTATCGAGTACTAATAATATAAGAACGAACTGAATAATACAAAAAAATATAGATGTAAAATTTTGCAATAGTAATGGATTTAAACAATGATAAAACATAACCTAAACAGGAAAATCATAAAAATAGGAACCAAGTAAGATGCTAAATTTGACAGAAAATAAAAGTTAAATGCTATAAACAGCCATAAAACAGAAAGTTTTGATTTCGCAAGTTTAGAGTTCAAGAACTAAACTGTGTTCGCATCTGGAATGAAAATTTTGTGGTTCGCATTTGATTAATTAGGTTAAAATGCGAAGGTGATTAATGCGAAGGGATGCGAAGGGTGTAAGAATGAAGATGCGAAGTATTTCACAGTAGAATGCGAATTGGGGAAGAAAACAGAAATTTTCAAATATTGTCCCTGGAGTTTCGCATTTTTGGAAATAAATACTCAACTTCGCAAATGGGGGTCATAAAATGATGAAATTGCAGAATTTTTAAAGAGATACAAAAGAATTGACAGTAGAATGCGAAGGTGATTAATGCGAAGGGATGCGAAGGGTGTAAGAATGAAGATGCGAAGTATTTCACAGTAGAATGCGAATTGGGGAAGAAAACAGAAATTTTCAAATATTGTCCCTGGAGTTTCGCATTTTTGGAAATAAATACTCAACTTCGCAAATGGAAATAATACAATACCTCAAATAATATCAAAGCACATTCCCAAGAATGCATGCACCAATATACCATTTTATTGTGAAAATTATGAATATGTCCATGTTTAAAAAATGATCATTATTTTGAACAGGAATTTATTGAATGTATTCAAATTTGAGACATCTTTTTTATAAAGAAAATATACTGATATCTTATAACACGAAATTGAAAAGTAGAATGTTATTGAATGTAATTTTTTTTTATTGCAAATATATTGGTAAAAAAATCTGAATGTGATAGATAAACCTAGAAACAACACACGTTTTAGAGTTATGTTGGTTGTTACTGGTGGGCATTTAGTTGGTTGTGTATTTGATGGAAACCCCAAATGTTGCCCATAAATTATTCCAGAGGTATGTACTTTATTTATGTTATCACTTTAATTTCATCAGAAAAATTATTTATGAGGTTAAAATGAATACATCCTTGCCCAGAAAATTAAACTAAAAGATGATAAATTACAGATTATAGCATTGTTCTTTGAGAATAAATTACTAAAAATGGGATATAGTGTAACAGGAACTTCAAAAAGAAATTGATACTTTTTTGTTTATTATATAAACGGTTTGATAAATCAGACGAAAATAATTAATAAACAACTTCTGAATCAAAGATAAATAGAAACCTTGATTAACAAATTCAATGAGAAGCAAATTTGAAGTCGCAGAAGAAGAAAAAAATTTCAATTATACGATTAACACAAACATTGAGAAGCAATGATACTTAATCATGAGAAACTCACCGAAGGATTGAAGTTGCTGATTCAAGATTCGAAATTAAGAAGCAGAATTGAGATGCAGAGACGGTCGTAGGGATTGAATTATGTAATTGAAGCGGAATATGATTGATATAGTATGTTATGCGCATAATAATTGATTGATATGCATACCATTTTTAGATGCTCTTAATCGGGCATGTAACGGAATTGATTTAATGTATACAGCAGATATTCCATATTCAAATTTCAAATTAGAAAATATCGATATTTCCAGATTCAATATTCCAAAGATTTCGATACAATATCATTATTTCCATCCATATTCAATTTGTAATGCTACGTGAAATTCCATATTCCATATATTCCATATATAATCTAATCTAATTCAATTCCATACCTAATTACCTATTTTATCTATTACCTAATGATACGTGAAAGGATGCTGAAGGGGTAATAGAGTAATTTAACATAGGGCGAAAAATGGATGATTGTAATGACACGTGTCCAGTTGGTTTTGTTTATTAGATAGGGAGATATATATATATATATATATATATATATATATATATATATATATATATATATATATATATATATATATATTTATTGGCCGAATGAGGCATACGTATGATGGAACCAAAACGGATGTCGAGGATATTATCTAGGGATATTGTCTTAGGAAAATTTATTGTTGGAATGTAGGGTACATGTAGCGTGACAAGCTTTGGTTAAGACCTAACACCAACGAGGTGAGTTTCGTGTGAATTTTGTGGTTGCTTGCATGAAAAGTTGATTCTAAATTATTTGCAATTATATGTTACCGTTGTTATTGCTATGAATATTTGTGTGAAATTTTGTGAATTATTTCATATAAAATGGTGAAAATGGTGGGTGACATATAGGGAACATGTGTATTTACACGGTCTTATTATTAATCGTCGTACAGGATGTTAGTACGCGGCGGAGAGCTTACGCTCTGTTTATCTAGCCGTAAGCATATTTGTTGTGCCCGGTGGAGGGACTCGTTCCCTGGAAATGACAGTAGTTCCCTAATGTGTCATCAAGGGTGGAAAGAAATGAAAAGAATTATATTGATAAATTGTTGCATTATTTTTATTTTATTGACGTCAATATGCATGAAAACCACGAACTCACTAGGCCCTAGGCTTACCCATTAGAATCTTTAAATGCACACAACCCAGGAAATAACATAGCAAGTGGCAGCGGGAATGGAAATGATAAAGTTCAGACTTGAAGAAGGCGACAAGTTTTGAGAAAGACGTAGCGCACCAAGTGTTTAATTAAATTTATATTTGCTTCCATTATTATTATTAATAATTACATTAGTATTTGAATCTTGATTTTTGGAAGTTTTGGGACTATGTTAAGTTATAATTATATTTGAAATTTGGGGCGTTACATAATCTTAGCCACTCATTTATTAGATAAAACAAAAATATTTTTAAAATGCAAAATAATTGAAAATGTTCGAATTTTTTTCCAATATTATTTTAGGAATATATATTTTCCAAAAAATAAATAAATAAATATAAAGAAAAAAAATACATTTTTTACGTATTTTAGTAGAATATTTAGAATATTCTACATATCTGACAAATCTAGTAGAATATTCTAAACATTCTAAAAATCATATTAGAATATGTACACGTATTTAAAAAAAACGGTAATTTTTTATGTTTTTTTTAGTTAAATAAAGTTCCAAAAATAATAATTAAAAAAGATTTTTTGGATTTTTCCTTTTATTTTGTATTTTAAAATTATTTTTAGATTTTGTCACACATCCTTACAAAATTAGCATGATCTCAAATGAATTTGAACCTATATATATATATATATATATATATATATATATATATATATATATAAGAAAAAGGTTTGTGTTTTAAATTCATGAACTATATTTATTTTTATGATTTTAATTATAATATAATATAGATATAGATAACATCTCTGTTAACATGTTTTGTAAAGACAAAATGTTTTAGAAAAAAAATGAATGTCCATAATATCGATGTATGTACTCCAAACGTTGAGATCAAGACTAGAAAACCATAAGTATTGATGTACTAACACAAAGACTAGAATATGTGTCAAAATAGCGGATTGTTTTATTTAATTGACATGTGGCTAAAACGGTGAGTTATAGTTGGCATGAATTGGGGTGAAGGTGATGAGTGATCACTTCTTTTGAGCTAAAAACTAGACATATGTCCTTATTTTGGAATTTAATTGGCAGGAACCAAGTTAAACAAAAGATGTGTTTGCTTATGTTCTTTTAGCCAGCAAACGCAAGAAAGTAAGAAATAAATAAATAAATAAACAAATAAAAGTAAAAGAATTACTTTTAGCTCAATCATTCAACATAAAATAACAGTAACGTTTTGCTTTCCAAAATCAATTGGATAAAAAAAATTATATTGTTATACATGTTAGCATATAATTTCTAATTTTAGAGACTAGGATTGTGTTTACATCCCACAATCTCTCCTCATAACTAATCCTTTTTGATACCATCAATATATTTTCGGAACACTCACTTGATATAGTTCATCAGGAAGACTTTCAATACAAAGCTTCAATATAGATAATTATTGAGGATTATATCACCTAGCTCTGCTATCATTTGTTACAATCACTTTTTGTTACAATCACTAATTGGTCAACCACATTAATAAGATTGTATTTTCTTAACAATTAATGATAGAAATTATTACTCATTATCTTATATACTAATATAGTTTTATTTATTTATTTTATCGATGTGAGATTAAGTTTGCATCCTAACAGATACAAATATGATTTTTAATTTTTTTTGGTTTCGGTATTGTATTTTTATCTTAAGTCTATTCTCACATTTTTTTTATTTATTTTGATTAATGTTGATTTTTTTATTTAATGGTATAAATGACATTATATTTTAATTTTTATTAATTTTAAAATTGTAGTTATAAATTTTGTTTTAATAGTTATGTTTTTATTTTTGCTGAGACCAAGAAAACTCTGAATCTCATATAGAGACCCCGAAACCTCCCTCTAGATCACGACCTCTTCTTGGTTGGATCGATCAGAATACCCTTCTGGTTGACAAGGTGCCCCAGAAATTGCACATCGCACAACTAGAAATCACAATTGGAGAACTTCACCAAAAGTCTCTCTCTCTCTCTCTCTCTCTCTCTCTCTTTCTCTCTCCTCAATGTCTCCAGAACATCCCTCAAGTGCTCTACATGTTGCTCCTGAATCTTGGAATAAACCAAGATATCATCAATGAAGACTATCACAGACCTGCCCAACATCGATCTGTACACGTGGTTTGTGAGGTCCATGAGGCAACAGGGGAATTGGTAATCCCAAACGGCATCACCATGAACTCATAATGACCATAGCAAGTCCGAAAGACTGTCTTTGGCACGTCGCCGTCCCTAACTCGCATCTGGTGATAACCTGATTCAGATTCGTCTTGGAGAACCAAGATCCACCCTGAAGTTGATCAAATAAGTCATCAATCCTCGGGAGGGGGTAATGGTGCTTTACTATTACCTTATTCAGTTCCTGATAATCAATGCACATCCGATGTGACTCGTCGTTCTTCTTCAAAAATAGGATCGGGGCTCCCGATGGCGAACTGCTTGGCCTGATAAATCCTTTGTCTAACAGCTCCTGTAGCTGTGTAGACAACTCCTGTATCTGGGGAGGAGCCAACCGATATGGTGCATTGGCTATCGGAGCGGCACCA